ATCGAAGCCCACAAAATGTCGCCTTTTCGCGATCCTCCGGCAGAGATCATCAACGCGTGGGAGCTTATGGCGGGGCTCGAGGACGAAATAATTCCGGGCCGAAGAAGCGTAAAGTCGGGGCCTTTAACCCGAAGCCTAACCGGAATCGAATCCATAAGCCCGATGAAGTTCTTGAGCCAAGTGGGGTCCCCGAGGAAGTCGAAGAAAATCGCTGGCAAGGAGAATAAAGGCCGGGCGAACAACGCGGGCTCGACTGAGAATAGCCCGAAAGCAATTATTCTCAAAGATTCAAACAGCAATAATGCAAAGGATGGCACGAAAAAGCCTTCCCCGAGACTGTGGGCCTCAATCAAAGGAAGCCCGGGTGTTAAAAGATCCGAGAGTTTGAGGTTCTTGTCCGGAAGGAGGATTCTTGGCCCGTTGTTCGACCCGGAACTCTTGGCCGAGTTCGAAAGGGAGGTATCCGAAGAGGAAGAAGAGATCAAGAAGATGATTTCGGCGAATCAAAGCCCGAAAAAGTCAAAATCTTTGCTCGAATCGGAAGGTTTTCTCGAGTCCTACAAGAGAAAGTGCCCGCCAGGTGGCCAGAACGCGGTTGTTCTCTACACGACTACTTTGAGGGGTATAAGGAAGACTTTTGAGGACTGCAACGCGGCCCGGTCGATCGTCGTGGCCCACAGAGTGCAGGTGCTCGAACGGGACATATCTATGGACTCGGGCTTTAAGGAGGAGTTGAGGGGGCTGATGGGTTCGAAGGAGGTTCGGGTGCCGTTAGTGTTCGTAAAGGGGAGATTGATTGGCGGGTCGGATGAGGTGGCGAGGCTCGACGAGGAAGGAAAATTGGGGGTTTTGCTTCGGGGGATCCCGAGGGCCGGGCCCGCGGGCTGCAAGGGTTGTGCCGGGGTTCGGTTCGTGATGTGCTATGAGTGCAGTGGGAGCTGCAAGCTGTTGGGGGATGATGGGAGGAAGAGTGTGAAGTGTGGGAAGTGCAATGAGAATGGGTTGATTGTTTGCCCAATTTGTTGTTAGGATGGTTGTGTGTTTTTGTGTGAGTGTGTGTAATTTGGTGTTGCTGACATGGAGTTCTGTTGTGTTTTTCTTGTGTTGTTTTTTTAAGGATGTTGGAGTAATTTTTGCCCTATTATTTCAATAATTCTTTTTGTATTCACCATTGGTGACTCGATGGAAGCCCCGATTCTGCCTATTTGGTCTCCACCACCAGCAACTCGACGGAAGAATTTTACAGTGATCGTCAATTTCCCGGAGCTTCTAGGACAATTCGAGCTCTATTTTGCAGAAGAAAAACAGACATGAAAAGTGAAAGTTGGGCTCAAGATCGTTATTTTAGTGGTGGCCAGACAAATCCAATCATTTCATTACTTTGGAAGGTGAACAAAACACCAAA